TATGTACGTGTGTTGTGTGAGTTTGTCTGTGTGTTCTGTGTGTAGGTGAGTGTGTGTTCGTGTGCATGCCTGCGTGCGTACGTGCGTGTGTGTATACGTGCGTCTGTGTGAGTTTGTGTGTGTGTGTGTGTGTGTGTGTTTGTGTGTGTGTGTGCGCGCGCGCGCGCATAAAAAAAAGAAAGAGAGAGAGAGAGAGAGAAAGAGAGAGAGAAAGAGAAAGAGAGAGATGTATCGAGAGAGAGAGAGAGGGGCACTGAGAGAGAGCTAGAGAGAGAGAAAGAGAGAGAGAAAGAGAGAGAGAGAGAGAGAGAGAGAGAGAGAGAGAGAGAGAGAGAGAGAGTTAAGGGGGACAAGGGTGGAGGAAGAAATTGAAAGTAAGAGAATAATTGCTAACGAATTTACCAAGAACGTTCTAGTCAAGAAGATATATTTGTTTTATACCTGACAAAGCAAGATAAGACAGCACTATCTCGATAAAGGCTAATCCTTTGCCGGAAAAGAAGAGATCGACAGAATTTCAATAAACACCAATCTTTCCCCCTTGGCAACGCAGCTGAAAGTAATAAAGAAAATTGAAAATAATGTTTTTGTTATAACAGAGCAATATGCGCAACGCTGGGAGAGAGAATTATTCTGGGATTTACTGCAGGTTGCGTCACGTCTTTTTTAGGCCCTGGTGGCAATCGGAACAGACAGAAAACAGCAATAATGAAGCGAACAACAGTTGTCAGTGGCAAAAGCTCAATCGATCTATTGCTGGGTCCCGTCTTGAGGAGGATAGAAATGCGCCCACACTCACGCAGTCACGGGTTAAATCAATTCCCCGTGATCACTAATCAAATTTTACCGAGAAGCGAGCGAGGAAAAAGTGAAAACGCTTTTATGCACGTTTTCTATACTTTACAGGAGTTGTTCCACCCGGTTTCTGGTCCATGTAATTACACGTGATAGAAGGAAATAAAGATGGAGATAAAGATAGAGAGAAAGAGATACCGAGAGATAGCTCAGAGGGACAAAGGGAAGAAGAGAGATAGATAGAGAGGGGGTGACACACAGAGAGAGAGAGGGAGAGAGAGAGAGAGAGAGAGAGAGAGAGAGAGAGAGAA